TTTTTTTTTTTTTTTCCAGTACTGGAGATTGAACTCAGGATCCTGTGCTTGCCAGGCAAGCACTTATTTTACTGAGCTATCTTCCCAGCCCCAGATCCCTAGATGTGAGATTTTTTATACACTGGAGTACTACTGTGCCCTAAAGAAGGACACACTCCGGACCTTTCTAGGCAAACGGATGCACCTTGAGGCCACACTCTTAAGTGAAATAAATGAGACACGCGCATGTGAATACTAAATTGTTTCTCTGGTGTGAGACACTGAAAGTGTAAATAAGGCCCAAAATGTAGAGTGGGTACTGTGAAATGGGAGGGAAGTGTTCAAGGGGGGAGCGGATCAAGGGAGGGGGCAGGGGGAAGGAAGGGAAGAGTGAAAAGAAAAGAAGGAAAACGTGGAGACAAAGATTTTGTAGTGGGGAGGGGAGGGGACTGGGGAAGACCAGGTTGAATCACACACACGCATGCACGTGCAGGTGCAGGTTCTCTGTGCAAATGTGATTGTCATGCATACTCTAAAATGTACCAATAAAATCTGATTGGAAAAAAAGGAATGGATGGATTCAAGAGGAGCCCTGAGAACCAGGAATGTGGGCTTTGTCTGGGGAACAAGGAGCTGCCTATTGTGGACAGGCCAGGCGGGGGGGGGGAGGAAGGGACAGTGGGCATGGTGTGGGGTGTGGAGTGTGGCCCGGCAGGGAGGGGCTGGAGGGGCTTAGGACACCCGCAGGTGGGTCAGCGATGGCTTCGCCTCCCTCCCTCCCCCGAGCAGCCCTGGGGTAGAGCCCAGGGCCTTTCTCGAGCTGGCCAGGCCTTCTAAAGCTTCTATTGTGAGACAGGCAGGGTCTCAGTAAGTTGCCCAGGCTAGTGTGGAGATCTTGATCCTTCTGCCTCAGCCTTCCAAGTAGCTGGGGTTACAGGTGTGCACCCCCCTGCAAGGAGCCTGACATCTTCCGAGCATCTCTCCTGTGGCCCCTCCTGGGAGGTGCTCAGGTCCTTCGGTATGTTCTGCGGAGGTGGGGACAGGGAACGGAGACAGCGCTCTGGGAACTTAGGGCAGTGAGGGCCAGGTGGGTGGGGGCCCTTGTTTATCACTCTTTCCTGGCCTCGGTGACTGAGATTGTGTCTGGCTGTCTGCCAGCAGCCAGGGGCATTCCCCTATCTGTACCCTAACTTGGGCTCTGTCCGGGGTTCCTGTATTGCTGCCACTCGGAAGCCCAGGGCAGCAAGGCCAGGGCGGCCCCTCCCAGGTCAGCAGGCACTGGCCATGTGTCACTTATGTGGCCCACTGTGTCCTCCAGGCCCCCCATGTGGACCTGTGCTGTGTGCTCTGGGCTGCTGCTGGGCCCTCTCTCCATCGTCGGCGGTGTCTCCTAGGGTCACTCTGTCTCCAGGTGTCCCCCCAGCCTGTGGATTGGGGAGTAAGGAGGGGGTTCCCATCAAGGGCTCCTCAGGCAGTGTCTGTGGGTGAGGGCTGTGCCCCCCAACCCCCCTGCCCCTGCCTTGTCTCTGCGCTCAGCACCGCCCACACGGGGGTCACAGGATGGTCAGGTGGGGACCGATGTAGGCAGTGGCAGTCACCTATGGGCGAGGGGGCTCTGCCCAGGAGTCTGTCCCACGGGCCTCAGCCCCCAACCCTGGGCTTCCTGGGCTTCGGTCCTCAGACAGCAGGCTGGGATCTCTGGGATGTAGGTCACCCCCTTGGCGGCAGGTGATTTATGGTACCTTTGACAGCCTAATGTCCTCCAATTATCCCCACACAATGGAGAGGGGCTGGGCTGCCTCCCGGCAGCCACCAAAGGGACGCGGTGCCCCTGGCATCCCAGGCCTCCTGGGGCGGGGGGCTGGCATGGTCGGAGGAGGGCACACCCGGGTGTGCCACCGGGGCCGGGGGTATAAGAGGTGGCCCGGGACAGCTCGGCGGCAGCAGCAGCAGCACCTCTGCGAAACTTCCACCGAGTCCGCAGCAGCCACCGCACCATGAGTTACAGACAGTTCACGTCCTGCTGGAGCCGCGGCAGCTCCGGGGGCGGCCAGCGCTCTTCCTCCAGCCGCTTCAGCTCCGGCGGCGGCGGGGGTCGCTTCAGCTCCGCGAGTGGCTTTGGCGGCCGGAGCAGCTCCGGGGCCTGCGGCGGGGGCGGCGGCGGCTCCCGCTCTGGCGGGGGCTTCAGTGCTGGGAGCATGGGCGGAGGCTTCGGCGGCGGCTCCGGGGGCTTCGGAGGAGGCTTCGGCGGTGGCTCCGGGGGCTTCGGCGGTGGGTCCGGGGGCTTCGGAGGAGGCTTCGGCGGCGGCTCCGGGGGCTTCGGAGGAGGCTCTGGGGGCTTCGGAGGAGGCTTCGGCGGTGGCTCCGGGGGCTTCGGCGGTGGGTCCGGGGGCTTCGGAGGAGGCTCCGGGGGCTTCGGCGGTGGGTCCGGGGGCTTCGGAGGAGGCTCCGGGGGCTTCGGCGGTGGGTCCGGGGGCTTCGGAGGAGGCTTCGGCGGTGGGTCCGGGGGCTTCGGAGGAGGCTCTGGCGGCGGCGGAGGCTTCCTGGCTACCGACGAGAAGGCCGCTATGCAGAACCTCAACAGCCGCCTGGCCTCCTACCTGGACAAGGTGCAGCAGTTGGAGCAGGAAAACTACGAGCTGGAGAGCAAGATCCAGGAGTGGTACGACAAGCAGGGGCCTAAGTTCTTCCAGAAGGACTACTCTCCCTACTACGACACCATCGATGACCTCCAGAAACAGGTGGGCGCAGGGACAGAGACAGGGGGGCAAGGGACACCTCTCTCTCTCTCTCTCTCTCCCTCCGCCCCACCGCTCTCTGTCTCCTCTTCCAAGTGCATGAAGCCAGCCTTCAGGTTTACACCAGAATAACCAGGAAATCTGCCCCTTGGAAACCTGGAGCATCCCTCAGAAATGCAGCGGTGCTGGACTCCTACAGGCGCAGGAGAGGGACTCTGGGCCGCGCTCTGGGCTTCACCCCCACACACGCAGCTTCCAAAGTCGGGGAAGAGCTCTGGATGAGCGTGGGCAAGACTGGGACTGGACACGGAGCCGCCTTTTGGGCTGGTCTCAGGTCAATCCTGTCTCTGCCTACTGCTCTTGGGCTCCTAGAGGGGGCTGCCTTGATCTTTTCACGTTCTTCAGGCTCAGGTGTCCATGTCAGTCATTCAAATGATGAAGAAGGTCTTGAGCTCTGGGGATAGACTCCATATGTCTATCACCCATGCACTTATCCACCCACCCATCCATCCATCAATCCATGCACCATCCATTATCCATCCACCCATGCATCCATCTATCCATCCACCCATTCATTATCTACCCACCCACCCATCCACCCATCCATTTGTCCATCCACCCATTCATCCATCCATCCATCCATCCATCCATCCATCCATCCATCCTTCCATCCTTCCCCACCCACCACACTCAATTTTGTTTGCTGCAGGCTGGGAGGGGTCTGGGCCACCTGTCCACTGTTGGGGACTCCTCCTGGACATCTTTCTGGATGGGATTTTTCCCTGCCTTTGCCACCACCTGGCCTGTGTCCCTCCCCACAAAGGATCAGAAGAGGGGGGACCAGTTTCATGCCATCTTTTCTTGCTCAGATTCTGCACCTGACCACGGGCACCAACAAAACTCTCCTGGAGATCGACAACACTCGGATGACACTCGATGACTTCAGGGTGAAGTGCGTCTGCCCCGCCCTGCTCCCTTCCCCACCTGCCCCAGGGCCCTGGAGGCCCTTCCTGACCACTTCCTGGCCTGCTGGCCTGTAGGTACGAGATGGAGAGGTCTTTGGTACAGTCCGTGGACGCAGACATCAACGGCCTGCGGCAGGTGCTGGACAGCCTGAACATGGAGAAGTCTGACCTGGAGATACAGTATGATACTCTGAAGGATGAGCTGCAGTCCCTCAAGAAGAACCACCAGGAGGTGCATGCCCGCTGCCAGGCCGTTGGGTCTGGGGAGGCCCCTTTGCCCTTTCTCTGGAGGAGAACACTCCCAATCCCTCTTCGGCACTCTGTGCTGGCGGCTGGGCTTTGATTTCATACCTGTGTTCCTTTTTGCAACCTGAGCGACCTGGTGGGAGAGGGGAGAAAAGGCGCCCCCACCTCCCCTTCTTCCTTGGCAGGAGATGAGCCAGCTGACCGGGCAGAACGGCGGAGACGTCAACGTGGAGATCAACGTTGCCCCCAGCAAGGACCTCACCCAGACCCTTAACAACATGCGCCAGGACTACGAGCAGCTCATCTCCAGGAACCGGAAGGAGATCGAGGAACGCTATGAGTCGCAGGTGAGCAGGGCCTCTCCCTGCAGGACGCGCCCCTCCAGGCTGTGGCCCATCCTCCCCTTCTTCTCCCAGCTCTGCACCCCTCAGTGCACCTGATGCACCCATCTCCTGAAAGATGGCATCCAGCCGTTGTTCCTCCCTCCCTGCCTCCTTCCTTCCCACCTTCCTCCATTCACTTACTCATCCAGTTTTAGAGGACCCCCTCAGCGCCAGATTTTAGGGGGCATGCTGACCTTTGAGGCATGAATCAAATAAGGCTGCAACTCTTGGGGGCTCGCGGTTCCTTGGTGTGAGGACAGAGCTGAGCGTGAAGAGCTTACAGCGATGCCACGCAGTGCAAGGCTGTGGCGGGGGACATGGTGTGTCTCTCATTTGGGCCTCAGCTCCCGGGCTGCTCTCTTCATCTTGGGTCCTGAGACTGGCCTAGAGCCTGGGACATGAACGCTTGGTCTGATGTGTGTGTGTGTGTGTGTGTGTGTGTGAGAGAGAGAGAGAGAGAGAGAGAGAGAGAGAGAGAGAGTAGGAAGAAAAGTTTAGCTGGTAGCTAGGGTGGGGACATGGCGTGGAGGATCTTGGAGCTCTGCTGAGAAGGAACGGCGTGCTGAGAGAGCTGGTCAGCCTGCCCAGCTGTGGGGACCCAGAGGTCGGCAGGTCCAGCTTGGGCCTTGCCTTCGCCTTGGAGGGGGAGGTCCCATGTGTGAGGCAGTCTTGCTGTTCTAAGTTCCTCACGGAGCCTTTGGGTTGCAGATGACCCAGATCGAGCAGGAGGTGACCAACAGCGGCCAAGAGATGGAGAAGAACACCAAGGAGCTGACCCAGCTCCGGCACGGCGTGCAGGAGCTGGAGATCGAGCTGCAGACGCAGCTCAGCACGGTGGGTGGGCGGGGCCTCCTGGGCGGGAGGGAGAGGACCCCGGAGGGAGCATCCCTCTCAAAGCCACCTCTTGCCCCCTAGAAATCAGCTCTGGAGAAGGCCCTGGAGGACACGAAGAACCGCTACTGCGGCCTGCTGCAGCAGATGCAGCAGCAGATCAGCGCCGTGGAAGAGCAGCTTGCCCAGGTCCGGGGCGAGATCGAGTGCCAGAACTTGGAGTACAGCAACCTGCTGAGCATCAAGATGCGGCTGGAGCAGGAGATCAAGACCTACCGCGACCTCCTCGAGGGCGGCCAGGAGGATTTGTAGGTCCCTGGGGACCTCAGAGCCCTCTAGGAAGGCCCAGGCCTTTGTTGCTCTGGATGGGGAGGTCCTTGTGTGCCATGCGCTGGGGGCTGGGGGCATCTTCCTCTTGTGGAGACACCGTGGGGCTTCAGGCTTTGGAAAAGCAGGGTGAGGATGTGGGCAGAAGGGGCGGCTCCAGCTCTAGGGAGGGCAAGGGGCCACCCTCCCTGCCTTGGTCCACTGCCTGCCAGGAAGGAGAATTTCAGAAGATTCACAATTGAGTGCCGACTCTGTCCAGGGCCGACTTTCTGTGTGCATGTGCGGACGACTCATTTTATCTTTGTGTCTGTTTGCTTTCCCAGTGAATCTTCTGGAGCTGGACACATTGGCTTTGGAAGTGGCAAAGGAAGACAAGGAGGGAGTGGGTCTAGAGGAGGCAGCTCTGGTGGAGGAAGTGGTTTTGGTGGGGGCAGCTATGGTGGAGGAAGTAGTTCTGGTGGGGGCAGCTATGGTGGGGGAAGTGGATCTAGGGGAGGAAGTGGGGGCAGCTATGGTGGAGGAAGTAGTTCTGGTGGGGGAAGTGGGGGCAGCTATGGTGGAGGAAGTAGTTCTGGTGGGGGAAGTGGGGGCAGCTATGGTGGGGGAAGTAGTTCTGGTGGGGGCAGCTATGGAGGAGGAAGTGGATCTAGAGGAGGAAGTGGAGGCAGCCATGGTGGAGGAAGTGGTTCTGGAGGAGGAAGTGGAGGAAGTAGTTCTGGTGGGGGAAGTGGAGGCAGCCATAGTGGAGGAAGTGGTTCCAAGGGAGGAAGTGGAGGTGGCTATGGTGGAGGAAGTAGCTCTGGAGGAGGAAGTAGAGGCGGCCATGGTGGGGGAAGTAGTTCTGGAGGAGGAAGTGGAAGCAGCCATGGTGGGGGAAGTAGTTCTGGAGGAGGAAGTACAGGCGGCTTTGGTGGGGGAAGTGGATCCAAAGGAGGAAGTGGGGGCAGCAGAAGACCATCCCAGACCCAGTCCTCCTCAAATCCCGAGGACTGTGACGATACACAAGGTAAGAGGTGGTTCTGGGCTACACTGGGGAACACAACGCTAGTTGTGGGGTAAGGGAATAGTTGAGCCCATGTTTATTTGTTCATCTATTTGTTTGTGGGGCTGGCATTGAGTCAAGGCCTTGGGCGTGCTTGGCCACCCCGTTAGTGTATCTTTGTGCCTCCAGGTAATGCACGTTCAGGATGGCTGGCTTGCCGGGCAGCCCCCGGCCAGGTGCTGTGGACCCCTGGGTGCCGATCGCTGCTTCTGGCAGCCTCAGATGAGTTAGGGTCCCCTCTCCACGTGGCCCAGGCCGCAGAGGTCTAGGAGGCGGCGGGCTGGTGGCTGTGTGGCACCACGCAGCTCTCCTGCTGTGGCTCACGCTGTCAGCTTTATTATGGCCCAGAAAAGGGGACAGAATGAGGAACTTGCCCGAGGAACTCAGCTCCGTGGGCCCCCCAGCTGGGACTTTCTGTCCCGGGGGGCAGGATACCGGGACTGGCCCCCGTGAGGGGAACACAGCCACAGGCTTGGTCTGTGGCCGGTTGGGACAGCGCTGTGTGGCGTGGGGAAGGAGGAGCTTCTCATGCCCATGAGGATCTGGGTACGGGACCGCGGCGGGCAGGCAGGGCCCTGGCTCTGGGGAGACATCCCTGTGCCTACGTGGCGTCGTATGAAGTGAAAGTGTGATGTGAAGAGGCGGCGCCTGCCTGAGCACGCCCGCCAGGGACGCCCCGTGGTCCTGGGGCTGCCGCTGCACAGCTTTGGGTGCTCTGTGTGTCGGTGACAACGCAGAGCCACGGCTTTGCATCCAGGGGTGAGGCTGGCTCCATCTTCGTCTCAGTGTCTGAGAAATCTACTAACAAAGCGGGGGATGTGGACGAGCTGCCCTGAAGGACAGAGCGGATGGGGCCAGACGTTGGGTGACCTCCTGGGCCCTCCATGTCAAGGCCTCCCGGCTTCTGCCTCGGTTTCTCCATCTTTCTGGGAAAACCCCTGCTTGGAGTCCCCCTTGTTTCTCTAACCTCCTCCTCCTCCTCTCTCCACAGGCTACCTGCTACGATACTAGAGCCCCTGCTGCCTTTTCCCACCCAGCACCTGCCGACTACCCCCCAGACGGGCAGACCCTCGGTGGCACCAGCTTCCTGCATCCTGTCATCAGGACAGGCTGGCTACCAGCGGTGGTGCCCGTGTGGGGCTGGACTGACCTGGCGTTGTCCCACTGGCCATCGCCCTCTGGCTCCCCTCCCTGCTGGGCCCTGAGGACCGCAGGCCTAGGCAGCTGTCCCTTCCTCCGTGTAGCCTGTGGGTGACCCTGCTCCCCTCCTGACCCTGATTTCCAAATAAACCTTTCCGATTGCAAATCAGACTTGGACTTGGACTGTTTGTCCTTTGGGATTGACGTGTTCCTGCTGGTTTGAACCACTGGTGATGCATGTGCGGCTGCCCCACCTGATGGGGCTGTCCCATGTGCCCAATGGGACAGTCATGCATGTACTACCGAAGGGTCAAGCTGCTGGCATCGAATTGCATGGACTGTAGCTCTGTTGTAGTCTGTAAGGGCGGGAGAGCCAGGAGAGCCGACTGAGCCCACTACGTAGGTGCTGGCCAGCCTTCCTGCCAGCTGACCTTTGGGCTGGTCAGCCTCGGGCGGGCGGTGGTTCTGTCTCCGTGGATGGCTGGAGGTGGCTGAGGCCTGGATACAATCGGGCCATGCGCCGCTCGGGCTCCAGCCAGCAGCTCCTGCGGTGTCCTGGGGCCTAGGCCAGGGCTGTTGCTTTGGCCACGTGGTACTGGCCCGGGGTAGCCTCAACCCAGCGCAGGCTCTGGGGCTGGGGAATGAGACGTCTTCTCTTGGGTAAGGAGCGGCAGAGTCCCACCTGCTGAGTCTACTACAGGTTTTGCGTTCGTGATGGAGGAAAACCAGACAGAAGTGACGTGGTTTATGCTTCAGAAGCCTGTGCAGATGGCTAAAAGTCTTGGCAAAAATGGGAGTGAAACAAGGTAAAAAACATTGCGCAGGGTTCTCATTGGGCCTGATGGCCTAAGCTCCTCACACTGGGCTGGCCTCTGGCTCAGGGTCACCTGCTTCACCTCCTGAGTGCTGAGGTCACAGAGGCACAATCCCTCCTTTTTAGTTGCTAAGCTATTTCCTCACAGCTGTCAGAAGCCCGCTAACACCACCCTGAAGCGTAGTGGTCTAAAGCGGCAATCATTCACCCAAGAATCTGCCATCATAGTGGGGCTTTTGTCCCCAAGGCCCACAGCTGGGTGGGAGTCAGCTTAACCTCCCATGTGTCCCGGGGGGTCCTCAGGCACCACTCTGGTGTCTGAGACTCTGAATGTGGCCCTCCCCCACGGGGCTGCTCATACAACCCTGCTTCCTTCCTGGTGGCCTCACCTGGGCTCAGAAGTCCCACCTGGTATCCTCAGTGCAGACCCAGGCCTGCTGGGATTCCAGGGGATCTGTGATAGGCACGACCCTAGGGAGGGCTCCCAAGATTCCTGGCCCTGACTACACGCGTGCCTTCCCACCACCCCATGAGATGTAGCCCAGGTGCTTCTTCAAAGGGACTGTGGTAAGCAAGGTCCCAAGCACACCGACCTCCAGACTGTCCTGCGATGGGGACTGAAGCCTGCAGTCCAGTGGTGGTGGCGGATGAGGTTGGGCTCCACCCCTGAGGACCCCTAAACAGCTGCACTAAGGGACAGGCATCTACCCTCAGGTCACAGAGCCTGAGAGAAGCTGGGGCATGCAAGGGCCCAGGTGCCTGAGCTCACTGCTCCCAAGGGGGCTTCAGAGGACTGCTAGCCCGGAACAACCGCGCAGCCTCTGTGTGAGACGTGAGTGCTCAGTGCGAGGGGCCTGCAGCTGGGGCGCTGCTGCAGCAGCTGACATTGACGTCCAGGACCAACCTGAGCAGAGGAGAGACCGCCACGGAGGACAGGCCATGGGGCAATGCTGGCTGAATGGTGACCACTGGCGAGAGCGAGGGCATCAGGACAGTGGCCGTGTGCTGCCTGTGGCTCCATGCCGGGGAATGTGTGGCTGGGAGGAGGAGCTGTCAGGATCCTGCAGGCGCGTGTCAGAGGGGAGAGGGCCCTGGGGACTCTGGGTCTGTGGTCTGAGGACCCAGATGAGCGGCACTGTTACCACGGAGATGGGAAGGAGGAGGCGGCTGGGGCGGAAGGTGAGGACTCGGGATTGGGTGCGGTGAGTTTGACCCCTGGTAGACACCGGGCAGCGACCCCAGCGCACGTGTGCAGGAGCAGCGGAGCTCGGGGGAAGCTCAGGCGCAGGCAGACTCTGCTCACAGAGCTGAGCGACCAAGGGCAGTGACACTGTGTTCAGATGGAAGGGCCAGGGATGGGGATTTCGCCAGCACTGACTGGCCTGTGCCGGGCGAGGGGTGTTCTGTGAATCCCCATGTTTGTTCCTGTTTCATTTTCTGCATGGGTAACTTGTTTGGATGAGCTCAATGACGTGCTCAGAAGACCAGACAGCTGCCAAGTGGGAGAGTCACAGGGCACGCTGGCCCAGTGGGGACCTGCTCTCTGGGGGAGCTGGGGAGAGGCTGTGCCACACACGAGGGCCTGAGGAAGATGGCTAGGGTGTCCCTTCAGGTTAGAACAGCACCACCGATCCAACCAGCCATCAGTCCTGGGCAGGGAAACTTGTTTTATGCTTTAGGATTGAGGAGGCTTACGAGAGTTTGTGGCAGCAGGGGAGGCAGCTCTAGTCAGACTTTGAGGGGGTGGCTGCCGCAGGAAGACAGATGACAGAGGCGATCTGAGCCCGCGAGCGCTGAGCTGCTTCCTGTGGGTTACGTGCACACGCTTGCCCCTGGATGAATGGGAACTGTGTGTGTGCGTCGCAAACGTGCATTAGGTAAAAGAGAGAGAGAGAGAGAGAGAAAAAAAAGGAAAACCACAGACACTGCAATCCAGTTCAGGCAGGCTCCAAAGCAGGTGCTCTTTATCCTGTCTTCTGTGACCCCAGATGCACACTGAGCCCCAAGTGAACACAGGTGCAAGAGCTTGCACAGGCAGCGACCAGATGGGGTGAGTGGGGAGTGAGACCGGACCCCGTGCAGGGAGAGTCTTCCAGAGCCTTGGTCTCCCCCCCCCCCCGGGGTCCTGGGTCTGGCTTTACGTAAGGAGGTAAGTGAGATGTATCAGTGTGTGTGTGTGTGTGTGTGTGTGTGTGTGTGTGTGTGTTGATCACTGAACAGACTGAGCAAAGCCCAGGCAGGCTTTGGCCCCAACCTCCCATCATCCCGAAGCCTGGTGCTCTTACACTTTGGGTGCTTGGATCTGCTCTCCACGCCCGCGAGTCCTCTGCCCATCCGGGCTGCGCCTGGTCCCAGGCCTCAGGCTCCAGGGTTCCCACCCAGTCTCAGGCCCACGCAGCAGCAGAATCCACCCCTTCTCTGCTCCTCTGACCAGACTGAGAGCCATGGAGAGAATTCTAACCAGAACCCAAAGAAATTCCTAGGAAATGAACCGGCAGCATGAGGAAAGTAAATCCGGAGAGATCGGGCAGAGAGCAAGGGAATAGTTTAATACAGGACACATAGTTTATAGAATTATTTTACAATGGTCATCTAAAGCGTCAAATACAAAGAAAGTGCAGGAAATCTGTCCACACACTAAAGACCCAAGACTCCAGCTAAGGACCTGGACCTCATGGCAATGTCCCGCACGAGTCCTGCTGAAGACCTCCAGCCCATCACAATGCTTCTCAGAAGTCCAGCTGGAGGCCTAGAGCCCACGACTATGTCTCATGCAGGCCAGCTTCAGGGATGTGCACTGGGAAGGCCCAAAGGTCAGAGGTGGAAGCTAGAGGGTCTGCACGTGGGATGAGGGAGCTGGGCCAGCAGGCTGAGGGATCTGCCCTGGAGCCAGGAATCGACGCTCAAAGCAAGAATCAGAGCTGCCTGAAAAGCACCACAGCCTCCTCGGCCGGCCGCAACAAAGCCCGGAGCTCCTCCGCTGATGGGAACAGCCACGTCTTCATCTGGGAAGCCAACATGACAAACTTCTCCAGGATACCGAACAGCTTCCCTGCTGGAGCTGGGGGTGATGCTCAAAACGAGGAGCAGAGCTCTAACAAAGTGAGCTTCGGTCACTCTCAGTGACAGTGAGTTCCCGAGCTGCTTTGATGATGAAAACAGTCGCACTCATATCAGGAAAGCCAGAGTGGCAAGGTCCTCCAGGCGAGCCCACAGCTCCTACAGCCTTCCTGAAGCTCTCTTTTCTTCCCCAGCTCTGCCCCTTATGCCGTGGGCAACAACCTCACATGGGCCTGCCACACCCGGCAGGCACCACGCTGCTTCAGTTCAGCTGGATGTTACAGGTTGACCACCAGTGGTCAGTCGACCGCACAAGGTGACAGAGCGTGGGTAGCAAAGTCCTGTGGAGTTCCATGGATTCGAACCCCTCCCTCCAGTCCTGCATCCACTCAGTAATTCGTATCAGTCCCTCTTCTCGGCAAGGGGCTGGCATGGATCATGACCAGAACAAGATGTCCCTACTCCCCTGGGTGTCCAGGCCTGTGCTGGGGAGAGAGAAGCTGGTCTGGCTCCATCGTGCCTGTCTGACCTTCTACAATTTCCAACGCTTTCTAGGGTCAGAGCTCTGACCTCAGGTTCCCACAGAAGGCCCTTGGAGCTTGTTAAAGTGGTGATGTCTCCATGTCATCCCCGCGTTGGTGGGGGCTGTGGCAAGAGGGTTTTAAGTTCAAGCCCAGCCTGGTGGACTTAGTGGCTTAGCAAGATCTTGTCTCAAAAAACAAAACAATAAAAAACCAGAAAGCGAAGAGGGTGTTGGGCCAGACGGCCCCTCACTCGCCCTGAGTACCAACACTGGCTCTCATGCTCAGTTTGTCTTCCGGTAACTTTGGTCTTCCTGAGTGACCCCGACCATCCATCCTCGCTGACTCCCCCAGCCCCCCAGGCCCCAGAGACCTGCCTTTCTCCCTCGGCTCAGCCAAACCCTTCATCCGTTCCCCAGGCAGGACTAAGAGAGTGTTCACAGAGCTTGGTGGAGGGACTTTGGTCAAGACAGGGAGCCTTGCGGAGCGAACCAGGAAGCCGCCAAAGCCTAGAAAGAGTCAGGTTTGAGACCCGAGGGTGGCTGGGAGGCAGGCGGGCCCCTTGGAGCGCCCTTCCAGCTGCGGAGAGGCCCAGGCACCTTCACCAGGCCACTGTGCAGGGAAGGGGTGCTGGGGGGAGGGTCGGCCCCAGAGCAGAGTGAGCCCTGCCCAGGGCCCGGAAGTGGGTCGGCATGGCCCGAGTCCCTCTGCGCTGCCCTGGGACGAGGCCCCGTGGCCGAGTCAGTCCTTGCTGTCTCTCTGGATCCAGCCCTGGCCCGGAAACGGTGGCTTCTGTTCAGCTGCTAAGATGAGCTGGGGCTGGGAGCCTCAAGGGGCAAATTCCCAGCACCGCCGGCTTTCTCTGGGGTACCGCGGGTCTGGGCAGCATGCCTGCTGTTCCCCCCACAGTGGGTTCCATAGCACCCCACTGGTCCTCCAAAGGGCGGGGGCTGCTGCTGCCACCCGAGTTCATCACGGTCACCGCACTGCGTCCCTTGGACCTCTGATCTGGACCCTGTGTCCCCACCACCACCACCTGCATCACAGGGGGAACCGGAGCAGCGTGGGACTGACTCCGCCGCCAAAGGATCCAGGGTGTTCTGCTCCCACGTCTCCTGATCCCGGCTAAAATAATCCCAGGCTCCCTCGGAGCAGGGAGGAGCCCCCGCCAGCAGGGGAGGCTACAGGAGAACTGGGTTTCCTCCCTAGAGGTCCCCAGTGTGTGTGTGTGTGTGTGTGTGTGTGTGTGTGTGTGTGTTGGGGAAGAAAGGAAGGAATAAACGACCAACCTGGGAGGTCTTCACTGCCTGAGCCCGAGAAATCCTCTTGGTGCCACGCCCCCTCCCCAAGGCCTCTGCTCCAGAGCCCTTCCAGCTGTTTCCCAGCACTCTCAGTCCAGAACGGATTCAGGGGTTTCTGGGAGCCCCAGAGGATGCCTTTAGGAAAACGCGGCAGAGACAGAGCCCCAGCTCTTCTGGACAGTTGGACTCAAGGGGCAGGAGCCGGCGAGTGGGGGGTGCTGGCCCCAGGACCGCCCTTGCCGTGGGGATTTTTCTAGCATATGTTCCCAGGGATGTGGATACATGCTAAAAACCACGAAAGGAACATGGTTTGTTAGGCCGTGCCGCACACCTGTCATCCCCACACCATGGGAAGCTGAGGTGAGAGGATCAAAAGTTCAAGCTCAGCCTGGGTAATTTAACGATTTAGCAAGATTCTGTCTCAAAACTAAAAAATACAAAGGGCTGGGGATGCGGCTCACTGCGAAACCCCAAAGCAGGTTTGGTCCTGAGACATACTGTGACCCCACAGAGGGGCGCTTGCTATCTTTGGGGCTACCACCCCAGGAAGCCAGGGTGTCCTTCCAGATCCCCACAGGGGGCAAGGAACTTGGAGGACCTGAGGGTCCCTGCTGCAGATGGACATGCGTCCTCTCAGAATTCTCCCATCTCTGTCCACTCTGAGCAGCTCCCCAGCCACCCACAGCACAGGGCCTGTCACTGTCCCCAGACCTTGGCCCCTCTGATCAAGGTCACACCTGCAGTGGCCCCGAGCCAGGCTTGAAGACCAAATGGCAAATGTCACAGACACATGTTTCCCGACTTACATCGGCTGAGCTCCTACGAGGTCCCGGCACGGTGCACCTGCACCTGCTTCACTGATTTCTTGACTTTAGCAAGAGCTCGCAGTCTCAGGATGCTGAGTCTGACGCAGGTTCAAGGACTTTCCAAGGTCACATAGCTTCCAAGGGTCAGGGCTGGCTTAGCACACTGTGCCTGTGCCACTGAGCCCTGGGGCCAGAGGGCTGGGTCTTCTTTTAATGCAAGGTCTCACTGCAGTTCAGGCTATGCTTGAACTCACTGTATAGTCCAAGCTGGCCTTGAACTCTTGGCCTTCCTCCTGCCTCAGCCTCCCTAGTGCTGGGCTAATAGGTGCACCCCATGCCTGGCTGATTTATGATTCTGAAATTCATCTGTCTTAAATAAAGACCAAGATAAAGCAAGACCTATGCAACAAGAGTTGTAGCTTTTGGATCTGATAAGGTCAGTGAAATCCCTTCAG